GAGCGGGTTTGATCAGAAGACAATGGGATACGTAAAGTATTCCTAAAAGGGTTACGTAGGCAGTTCCTAATTTTAAGTGGAGCACACAGCTGGTGTTACGTCACACAGCTGGTTGTTTACTTCAAAACAGTGGTGTTACTGTTACAATGGTGTTACTGTCACACACAGCTGGTGTTACTGTTACAAAGCTGGTGTTACTGTCACCAGCTGGGTGTTACTGTCACACACAGTGGTGTTGCTGTCCACAAAAGCTGGTGTTACTGTCGCACAGCTGGTGTTACTGTCACACAGCTGGTGTTATGTCACACACAGCTGGTGTACTGTCAACACAGTGGTGTTTAACTGTCACACACAGCTGGTGTTACTGTCACACACAGTGGTTTACTGTCACACACAGCTGGTGTTACTGTCACACAGTGTTTTGTTGCTGTCCCTGCTGCTGGTGCTCTGTTGTTGTTTGTTGGGGCTGTTTGTTGTTTGCTGCTTGTTGTTTGGGCTGTTGGTGTGTTGTCGTGTGCAGCTGTTTGGCTGTGCTGTGCTGCGTTGTTGTTGTTGTTGCTGCTGCTGCTGTGCTGCTGCGTTGTTGTGTGTTGCGGGTTTGTGTTGCTGCTGCTGTGCGGGCTGCTTTTGCTTGCGGGCTGTGCTGTTTGTGCTGTTGCTGTGCTGCGGGCTGTTGCTGCTGTTGTGTTGCTGTTTGCTGCGGTTGTGTTTGTCTTGTTCGTTTGCTGCTTGCTGGCTCTGCTGTTGGCTGCGGGCTGCTGCTGTGCTGTGTTGCTGCTGCTGTTGCGGCTTTGCTGTGCTGCTGCTGCTGCTGTTGTTGCTGCTGCTGTTGCTGCTGCGGCTGCTGTTGTTGCTGCTGCTGTTGCTGCTGTTCCTGCTGCTGCTGCTGCTGCTGCTGCTGCTGTTGCTGCTGCTGCTGTTGCTGCTGCTGCTGCTGTGCTGCTGTTGCTGCTGCTGCTGCTGCTGCTGCTGCTGCTGCTGTTGCTGCTGCTGCTGTGCTGCTGCTGCTGCTGCTGCTGTTGCTGCTGCTGCTGCTGATGTTGTTGTTGTTGGTATTCTTGCTGCTGGGTCTACTCCGTCCTCGTACATCACTTTTTCCATAAGGATGATTCTTCGTTCTCTTCCTTTTTCCTTCTTCTTCCCCTCCTCACTCCTCTCTCTCTTCTCCCCTCTCCCCTCTCTCTCTCTCTCTCTTCTCTTCCTCTCCCTCTCTTTTCTTCTCCTCTCTCTTCTCTCTCTCTCTCTCCCCTCTCTCTCTGTACCTTGCACTTCCTTCCACTTCGTGACCACAACTCCCACCACCCTCGTCCTCCTCCCCCCCCAGCTCCCA